GCATGTGTAAATAAAAATTCATGCTAAATCATTCAACTAGATTGCTAGTGAAAGGAATAGCTCACTCCAGTTATAATAAACTGGGACAAGAACAAAGGATGCAATACCACAACATGCTTAACGTTGCAGGTATCAAGTTAACGGCTATGTCTACGCTACCACTTATGTTGGTATAACTTATGTCGCTCGGGGTGTGAATCAGCCACCCCCGTGAGCAACATAGTTACACTGACCTAAGTGCCGGTGTGGACAGCGCTATGTCAGTGGGAGAACTTCTCCCATTGATGTAGCTACCATCGCTCGTTGGGGATGGATCAATTAAGTCAACAGGAAAGCGCTCTCTCTCTCTCAGTTTAGAGCAGGTACACTAGAGAGCTTACAGCTGCATCAGTGCAGCTACGCCACTAAGGTCTCCAGCAGAGCCATAGCCAGGACCGGCTCCAGGGTTTTTGCTGCCCCAAGCGGCAAAAGAAAAAAAGAAAAAAAAAAGCCGCAATCGGGATCGGCGGCAGCTCCACCGCACCGCTTTCTTCTTCAGCCATGTAGAGGAGCGGACTCACCCCTGCGGCGCCTCCTGCTGGTGACTTCTGGGAATTAGCTCTTCCAGCGTCCTGGAGCGCCCCCTGCAGGCTGGTGATCCACCTGTCCTCTGGCCCAGTGTCCCTCCCGGACCCCGGTGCCCTTGTATCTGGGGGTTGCCCCCTGGCAGTACACCCCTCAGTACTAGGGTCTCCCCTCCCCAGGGAACCCCCACCCACTATCCCTACCTCGCCTCAAAATAAGGCCACTGCCAGTCACCAACTAGCTCCCACTCCCTGGGGTAGACTGCAGTATAGGCCACTCATCACAGGCCAGGAGGGTTTGGACCTGCTGCCTTGGCCTAGCCCTGGGCTGCCCTCTGCAACCCCAGTACCCCTGGCCTTCTCCTAGGCCACAGCCTGGGACTTTCCAGGCTGGAGCTCCCCAGCTCCTCAGCCTTTCCCCAGCCCTGCTCCACTCAGGTACCCTGTGTCTAGCTCGCTGCAGCCAGGCCCTTCTCCCTCTGAAGGCAGAGAGAGACTCCTTGGCCTCTGGCTCCCAGCCTTTTTATACAGGCCAGCTGTGGCCTGATTGGGGAAGTAGCCACAGCTGGGCCATGCCCCAATCAGCCCAGCTTTTAGAGCTGCAGCCCTCTGCCAGGGCTGTTTTAAGCCCTTCCAGGCAGGAGCGGGGAACCACCCCGCTACAGGCAGCAATTCGGCGGCAGGTCCTTCCCTCCGAGAGGGACCGAGGGACCCGCTGCCGAATTGCCACCGAAGAGCCCGACGTGCCGCCCCTTCCCCTTGGCCGCCCCAAGCACCTGCTTGCTGGGCTGGTGCTGGCCCTGGCCATAGCCTAATGCCAGGTATACACCAGAAACTTTTGCTAACAGTGTCAGTTTACAAGTCCTTTTTTATTTTAAGCAAATTTCTGTATTGGCAAAAGCCCTAGTGTAGACGCAATTATACTAACATAAAAGTGCTTTTCTCAGATTAGTTTATTTCGCTCAAGGAACCAGCGTCTAACACTGGGAGCATTTGCCAGTATTGCTATAATAGCAAACCTCTTCTAGTGTAGACCTGGCCTAGAGCTAGAGCCAGAGTTTTTTGCACACTGCATAGGTGCAATTGAAGCAAGCAATCAATTGTTCAAGGCCATTGCTCTATGCCAAGAGATGTCAGCAGCCAATGCAAACCTGACATTTAAAAACTGTGTCAGGAACTAGGCAGGTTGACTGTTCACCACAAAAAAAAAATCGATTAAGCTGGAAAGCAACGGTGATTTGTTAACCAGTGAAATACTGGATCTAGGAATCTGCCATACTTGTCCCTTGCCAATACTTCTATACCTGGATAAGCGAGAGAACACTGCAGCAGTTATGAATCATTTGTTCAAGTAAGAGAAAGTACTTCCTGGAAAAAGCACAATCTAGAAGACTGGAGAAAACAGAGCAGTCCCAGAGGAGTGGAAAGTAGCACAGCAAAATCCCACACAGTAAACAGAACATGCTATTTGATATACTTGATTTATAAAGGAGACACAAACTATGAGGCTATCTTTAGTTACACTTCTTTTTACTCCCACTGTACCCCAGGAACCAATCACTACTTTGATAAAAACTGCATTACTGATGTTGCCAGCAGGCACATACACACTTCTGGAAGTTGTGTTTATTAACAGTTATTACAAAGCAGGAGAGAGGCGGAAGCGAAGTTGACAGGGGAGCCGCGGCCGGCAATCCCGCGCCGTGAGGACGGAGGTAAGTCGATCTAAGATACGTCGACTTCAGCTACGCTATTCTCGTAGCTGAAGTTGCGTATCTTAGATCGATCCCCCCCCAGTGTAGACCAGGCCTAAGTTTCACCTAGACAGAGCAAATTAACATAGAGCACAATACAGAGAGTCAGGAATTGCTGAGTTCTAACCATGGCTGTGCTCCAAACTTGCTGTGTAGGGCAAAGACACTTCAACTCTGCTACTTGAGCTCCCTCTGCACTCTAAATAAAGCTCTAAATAAGGGTTAACCTTAATCTATTTATAACGAATCTAGCCACTGGGCCTCTGCGCCAAAAGTCAGAGCCTTTCTCCCATTCCCACCTCAGGGTCTTCCTGTAAGCGGACTCCTATTACAAGGCATATTGTCCCTATACCCAGTCACAAAGCCACTGCCCTCATTCAAATCCCTCCCAAAATATTATTTCTGCTGTGTTGCCCAACTAGGTAGGTTTAAAAAGAACAATCCACTAAATTTAACAAAATCCATCATAATGAATGGATTAGGCCCACTGCTTAGTGAAGAGGGAGAAACATTAACAGGAAACTTGGAAATGGCAGAGATGCTTAATGACTTCTTTGTTTCGGTCTTCACCGAGAAGTCTGAAGGAATGCCTAACATAGTGAATGCTAATGGGAAGGGGGTAGGTTTAGCAGATAAAATAAAAAAAGAACAAGTTAAAAATCACTTAGATAAGTTAGATGCCTGCAAGTCACCAGGGCCTGATGAAATGCATCCTAGAATACTCAAGGAGCTAATAGAGGAAGTATCTGAGCCTCTAGCTATTATCTTTGGAAAATCATGGGAGACGGGAGAGATTCCAGAAGACTGGAAAAGGGCAAATATAGTGCCCATCTATAAAAAAGGAAATAAAAACAACCCAGGAAACTACAGACCAGTTAGTTTAACTTCTGTGCCAGGGAAGATAATGGAGCAAGTAATTAAGGAAATCATCTGCAAACACTTGGAAGGTGGTAAGGTGATAGGGAACAGCCAGCATGGATTTGTAAAGAACAAATCATGTCAAACCAATCTGATAGCTTTCTTCCATAGGATAACGAGTCTTGTGGATAAGGGAGAAGCTGGGGATGTGGTATACCTAGACTTTAGTAAGGCATTTGATACGGTCTCGCATGATATTCTTATCGACAAACTGGGCAAATACAATTTAGATGGGGCTACTATAAGGTGGGTGCATAACTGGCTGGATAACCGTACTCAGAGAGTTGTTATTAATGGTTCCCAATCCTGCTGGAAAGGCATAACGAGTGGGGTTCCGCAGGGGTCTGTTTTGGGACCGGCTCTGTTCAATATCTTCATTAACTACTTAGATATTGGTATAGAAAGTACGCTTATTAAGTTTGCGGATGATACCAAACTGGGAGGGATAGCAACTGCTTTAGAGGACAGGGTCATAATTCAAAATGATCTGGACAAATTGGAGAAATGGTCTGAGTTAAACAGGATGAAGTTTAACAAAGACAAATGCAAAGTGCTCCACTTAGGAAGGAACAATCAGTTTCACACATACAGAATGGGAAGAGACTGTCTAGGAAGGAGTACGGCAGAAAGGGATCTAGGGGTTATAGTGGACCACAAGCTAAATATGAGTCAACAGTGTGATGCTGTTGCAAAAAAAGCAAACGTGATTCTGGGATGTATTAACAGGTGTGTTGTGAGCAAGACACGAGAAGTCATTCTTCCGCTCTACTCTGCTCTGGTTAGGCCTCAGCTGGAGTATTGTGTCCAGTTCTGGGCACCGCATTTCAAGAAAGATGTGGAGAAATTGGAAAGGGTCCAGAGAAGAGCAACAAGAATGATTAAAGGTCTTGAGAACATGACCTATGAAGGAAGGCTGAAAGAATTGGGTTTGTTTAGTTTGGAAAAGAGAAGACTGAGAGGGGACATGATAGCAGTTTTCAGGTATCTAAAAGGGTGTCATAAGGAGGAGGGAGAAAACTTGTTCACCTTAGCCTCTGAGGATAGAACAAGAAGCAATGGGCTTAAACTGCAGCAAGGGAGGTCTAGGTTGGACATTAGGAAAAAGTTCCTAACTGTCAGGGTGGTTAAACACTGGAATAAATTGCCTAGGGAGGTTGTGGAATCTCCATCTCTGGAGATATTTAAGAGTAGGTTAGATAAATGTCTATCAGGGATGGTCTAGACAGTATTTGGTCCTGCCATGCGGGCAGGGGACTGGACTCGATGACCTCTCGAGGTCCCTTCCAGTCCTAGAATCTATGAATCTATGAAGAGATGGCCTTGCTAATTGGTGAGTCTTACTGAAATCTTGTCATTCCCTTACACGCCTCCCAACTTCTCTTTTGTTTATTACCTTCTCTTGTAATGTTATGTCTGACTTTAGGTTGTCAGCTATTTGGGTCACAGACCTTGTCTTCACTTGTTCCTGGAAGCACCTTTTAAACTCCCCCCGGGGGGGGGGGAGGGGGGACTCCAAAGTAATAGTAATAACAAGGGAAAATGTTAGTAAGTCTTGTCAACCTTTACTAACTCTTCTCGCGCAGAGCATACTCATGTGTCCAGCAACAGTTTACAAGGCATCATGCTTCAGATACTAAATAGCTCCCGTTACATAATGCAAAACAAAAGCTATCACAATACAGCTGTGTATATTTTAAATGTACATTATGGAAAGTTTATACATCAATAGGCTTTCCAGACAAGATGCTGCTTTGGATTCACTTACCATTTACAGCTTTTTCTATCAATTCTTCACAAGCATCAAAGTCTCCTTTCAGCACTAGTTTGTCATGCAGATCTGTCAACATTGGGTGCTCTAGCGCAATCTTGGTTTTCTTCTGCAGTGATTCAAAAGCCTCAGTGTAGTTGTGCTGGCGAAAATGCTTTAGACATAGACGAATGGCTTCCTGTTCACGGTACTACTGGAACACAAGAAAACCTATGAGAAGGGTAGATTTCCCTGGCTGGTACTAACAGGAATTTCTTACAAATTTGTTGGGATGGCAGGGAAGTGGAAGCTCTCATACATATTACATATGTTAACTGTTCATAGCCTACAAAGCTATACTAAACGTAATATACTTTCCATGGCATCTGCCTCCCAAGGAGATGAGACAAAACATTGTGCTATTTCTTTCTTTAAGATGATTTAATTTTTTGATACAGTTACAAGATGTGATCACCACAAGACCAAATCTTTAAAATCACTGCCATTCCTTTTTTAGCTCTTTGGTCTTGCTGCTGAATTCTACACGAAAATGGAAAAAAAGTGGAAAAAACCCGTCACTCCCAAAATTACGTAAGCGTCGTACAATCATAAATTATATAACAAAATACTTTAGAACAGTAAGTAGGTCACAGCTTCTCTAAGCGAAAGAGCATAAGGAAAGAGTATTAAACAGGAATATAGAGAATGTTTTCACCCCTCAGCTGCTATAAACACACACACACACACAATGACCATTAATCGCCATTACTTGAAATCAAAGCATGAAAACCCATAACCTCAAAAGCTCAGCTGTCTTGCATAACTGTATTTGGAAAAAACTGGTGTACATGCCAAAACTAGCACTGCAGGCTATTCCCTCACACCAGCTCCTCATCTCATGCCCCAGTATATCAATGCTGCCCACCTGCCATCCAACAGTGCAGGATTTTGACACTAGGGTCAGAAGGAGATCCAGTGAGTTACAGTACCCAAAACTCAAAAGTCAGCACGCAGCGTCTGAAAAAGCTACCGTTTTAGTTGTCAGTCAGAGAGGGGGAAGATATATCATCATTAGGGCTGTCAAGTGATTAAAAAAATGAATCACCATTAATCGCGCTGTTAAACAAAAGAATACTATTTATATAAAAAAAATTGAATATTTTCCACATTTTTAAATATATTGATTACAATTATAACCGAATACAAAAAGTGTACATTATTCACTTTATATTTATTTTTATTATAAATATTTGCACTGTAAAAATAAAAAATAGTATGTTTAATTCACTTAAGTACTGTAGTGCAATCTCTTTATCATGAAAGTATCATGTGGGGGGGAGGGATAGCTCAGTGGTTTGAGCATTGGCCTGCTAAACCCAGGGTTGAGAGTTCAATCCTTGAGGGGGCCACTTAGGGATCTGGGGCAAAATCAGTACTTGGTCCTGCTAGTGAAGGCAGGGGGCTGGACTCAATGACCTTTCAAGGTCCCTTCCAGTTCTAGGAAATATATAAATGCATTAATGGAGATATCCTATGTATTTATTTATTTATTTATTTATTTATTTAAAGTTCAACTTACAAAAGTAGAATAATGTACAAAAAATAACTGCATTCAAAAAATAAAACAAATGTAAAACTTTAGAGCTTACAAATCCAGTCAGTCCTACTTCTTGTTCAGCCAATCACTCAAACAAGTTTGTTTACATTTGCAAAAGATAATGCTGCCTGCTTCTTGTTTACAATGTCACATGAATGTGAGAACAGGCGTTTACATGGCACTCTTGTAGCTGGCGTCACAAGATATTTACATGCCAGATGCGCTAAAGATTCATATGTCCCTTGATCCTTCAACCACCATTCCACAGGACATGCATACATGCTGATGATGGGTTCTGCTGAATAAGAATCCAAAGCAATGCGGACGGACGCATGTTTATTTTCATCATCTGAGTCAGATGCCATCAGCAGAAGGTTGATTTTCATTTTTGATAGTTCGGGTTCTGTAGTTTCCGCATAAGAGTGTTGCTCTTTTAAGACTCCTGAAAGCATGCTCCACACCTTGTCCCTCTCAGGTTTTGGAAGGCACTTCAGATTCTTAAATCTTGGGTCCAGTGCTGTAGCTATCTTTAGAAATATCACATTGGTACCTTCTTTGCGTTTTGTCAAATCTTCAGAGAAAGTGTTCTTAAAACAAACATGCTGGGTCATCATCCGAGACTGCTATAACATGAAATGTATGGAAAAATGTGGGTAAAACAGAGCAGGGGACATACAATTCCCCCCCAAGGAGTTCAGTCACAAATTTAATTAACGCTTAATTTTTTTAACACGCTTCATCAGCATGGAACCATGTCTTCTGGAATGGTGGCCAAAGCGTGAAGGGGCATCTGAATGTTTAGCATATCTGGCACGTAAATACCTTGCAATGCCGGCTACAAAAGTGCCATGCGAATGTCTGTTCTCACTTTCAGGTGAGATTGTAAATAAAAAGTGGGCAGCATTATCTCCCGTAAATGTAAACAAATTTGTTTCTCTTAGCAATTGGCTGAACAAGAAGTAGGACTGAGTGGACTTGTAGGCTGTAAAGTTTTACATTGTTTTGTTTTTGAGTGCAGATATGTAACAAAAATTCTACATTTGTAAATTGTGCTTTCACGATAGAGAGATTGCGCTACGGTATTTGTATGAGGTGAACTGAAAAATACTATTTCTTTTGTTTATCATTTTTACAGTGCAAATATTTGTAATAAAAATAAATATAAAGCAAGAACTGTACCATTTGTATTCTGTGTTGTAATTGAAATCAATATATGTGAAAATGTAGAAAAGCATCCACAATATTTAATTAATTTCAATTGGCATTCTATTGTTTAACAGTGCAATTAAAACTGCAATTAATCACAATTAATTTTTTTTTGAGTTAATCGTGTGAGTGAACTGCGATTAATTGACAGCCCTAATTATCATTAGCTTTAAATATGCTAATTGCAATAATTAGATGGAAGGAATTTAGGGTGACATTTTCCAAAGTATGTAAGCAACTTAGCACACCCACTTTCAATGGAACTTGTGCTCCCATATCTCTTTAATGAGATTATAAGTTTGGTTGTAAGGCATCTGACTAAAGTACCACATGACATTTTGATTAAAATAACTGGAATACAAAATTAACTTGGCACATATGAAGTGGATTAAAAGATGGCTAATTAAGAGGTCTCAAAATGGAACTATAAATGAGGAATCATCATAAAAAACAGGTGCATTTCTAGTGGGATCGTGTAGGGATCAGTTCTTGTCCCTACACTATTTACCACAACCTGGAAGAAAAGAAAAATCAGAGATAAAGTTTGCAGATGACACAAAAATTGGGGGAGTAGTAAATAGTGAAGAGAACAGCTCTCTGATAAAGAGCAATATGGCTCACTTAGTAAGCAGGGCACAAGCAAACAATGCACGTTTTAATATGGCTAAATGTAAAAGTATACATCTAGGAACAAGAACGTACAGCCATACTTACAAGATGGAGGATTCTACCCTGGGAAGCAGTGACTCTTGAAAGATTTGAGAGTTGTGGTGGATAATCAACTGAACATGAGCTCCCAGTGTGATGCTGTGACTAAAGACCTAATAAAATCCTTGGATGCATAAACAGGGGGATATCACGTAGGAGTAGAGAGGTTATTTTACCTCTGTATTTGGCAATGGTGCAACTGCTGCTGGAATCCTGTGTCCAGTTTTGGTGCCCACATTTCAAGAAGGATGTTGATAAATCAGAGAGGGTTTAGAGAAGAGCCATGAAAATGATTAAGGGGCTGGAGAACATGCCTTACAGTGAGACTCAAGGGGAACAGTCTCTTTAGGTTAAAGAGAAGGGTAAGTAGTGATTTAATCACAATCTATATGTGCCTTTATGGGGAACAAATATTTAATAATGGGCTCTTGAATCAAGCAGAGAAAAGTAAAACGTGTTCCAATGGCTAGAAGTTGAAATTAGACCAATTCAGATTATAAATAAAGGTGTGATTTTTTTTTTTTTTTAAACCTGATTAACCATTGGAACAAAATTTACCAAGGGTCACAGTGGGCGCTCCATCACTGGATTTTTTTTTTTTTATTCCAATTTAAAATTACAGGTATGCTTTTGTTCAAAAAGTAATTATTTTGGTGAAGTCCTATGGCCTGAGTTATACAGGTCAAACTAGAGATCACAATTGTTCCTTCTTACGTTGGAAGCTATGAATAAATCACAGGCACTTTTGAAAATCCCACCCTTAGCCTTTATTATTGAGAAATATGCCAGCTTCATTGAATTTGATTTGGGGTTTTTTCATTCACTATTAAAATTTCACCTTTTTGCCTCTTAAAATGTAGGTATCGAATATTGATACATTTTATTTTAAACATATTTTTAGTAGGTGAAGTCAGTTTCTGTATTTTAGTATATATTCAAAATGCCTAGAGTTGGATGAATTTTGACAAATTTTTTGAAAACTTTAAAAAAAAAAATCGGTCACTGTCCCTTCAATCTTCATTCTTCCACATTAAATTTGGTGACAAAAGGCTTACAAGTGGAAAGAAAATATCTACGATAGTCATAAGTGCAGTGTTTATCATTCTTAATCCAAAATTATTTACAACAGTCGTCTGTGAACTGGTAGTTACCTGAAAATGTTGGGAGTGAACGTTATCTGTGACTTCAAAAATCAACTACCAGCACATATGTGAAAGAGATTAAGTTGTGTGCTAACAAAAAACACAGAACACTTACTGGAATATGCAAATAAAAGCAAGGAGATCAGCTTCACAATATAGCTGAATGTATGAAAAAACAACATAGAATCATAGAATATCAGGGTTGGAAGAGACCTCAGGAGGCCATCTAGTCCAACCCCCTGCTCAAAACAGGACCAACCCCAACTAAACCATCAACTTAAAAACCTCTAAGGCTGGAGATTTAACCACCTCCCTAGGTAACCCATTTCAATGCTTCACCATCCTCCTAGTGAAACAGTTTTGCCTAATATCCAACCTAGACCTCCCTCACTGCAACTTGAGACCATTACTCCTTGTTCTGTCACCTGCCACCACTGCGAACAGCCTAGCTCCATTCTCTTTGGAACCCCCCTTCAGGTAGTTGAAGGCTGCTATCAAATCCTCCAACTCTTTTCTTCAGACTAAATAACCCCAGTTCCCACAGCCTCTCCTCATAAGTCATGTGCCCCAGATCCCTAGTCATTTTTGTTGCCCTCCGCTGGACACTCTCCAATTTGTCCACATCCTTTCTGTAGTGGGGCACCCTTTCTGGACGCAATACTCTCGATGTGGCTATATCTATATCTATATCTATATCTATACACACACACACACACACCCCATAACATATACCATCTTGGTTTTGAAGAGTTATGATATTGTTTAGAACTTTAAAAGTGTTCACTTGTACATCAGTAAAATCTACCTAGTTTTAAGGTGAAACCTATATAGAAAATTTCCTAAATTACTCAAGTGATGGAAGGATAAAGAAAGCAGACTGGAGCATATTCATCTCCCTAGTTTAGTCATAAGGCCAAATTCAACCCTGGTGTAACTCCACTGAGGGCATGAATACATTTGATGTATTTAGTCCAAAAAGACTGAAATTAATGTTGGATGCTAATTTTGATGGTCAATATTTACAATGAAATGCCCCTATGAGCATAAATGGTTATTTTAGAACACCAAGCAGAGGTCCAGCACAGCTTTTATTGGGAAAAGCTATGAGTACATTACATTGTCTCCCACCCTTCATATGATGCTCCTCTTCTTAGACTGCAAGATCTTTTATACATGGACAGTGACCACATCTTCACTGGTACAGCATCTAGTACAACAGGGCCCCACTCCTGGTTGGGGCTTTTGGGTACTATTATATTCTTAAGACTCTACTTAACTTGCAATATTTGTGGAAATTGTGGATTCCGCAATATTAAGCTTCCATCGCAATTTTGTCAGTGGGAGCCCTCACTCTCAGCCCTGGATGGCAGACAGTGGAAAATCGCAGAAAAGTAATAATGGACCTTATTATTTGTGGTAATAAAGTCCATTAAGGTCCATTATTACTTTTCTGCAATTTTCCATGGCTTGTCTGCAACTCAGCTGCAATTTTTTTTTGACAATCATCCCACAATTCAAGTAGCGCCTTAATCATTATATAAGTATTAAAGACTATTTTTTACACAACTGTCAAGGTTCAAGTAGATGAGCCACACTATAGCTGTAGATTGGGTTTTAATAAACTTCTCATAATTAACAGAACAGGATAGGGAGACAAAAAAAAAAATCATGTTCAACAGTCCACTGCAGCTAACCTTAAAGTTTAAGTAGTATCAAAAGTGTTCTACTATTCACTAGCAAATGCAGGAACGAGAACAGGAAGTATAGTCAAGCAAAAGCAATCTAGAAAAATGCTCTGATGTTGATGAGTGTGGTTAATTGAACCAGGAATTCTGGAGAGGAGTTTCATTTTTATTTTTTATTTTTTTTTTATAAAACTTCATTTAAAGTCCATAAAAGCAACAGGGTTTGAGGCTGACCTATCAAAAGTAAAGTATTATAAAGATGTAATGGCAACATTGAGAATTCAAGAACCTAATGACAGGAAGAAGGACAGATGAAAGGGGAGGTGAAAAGTTGCATGGATTACTATTTGGATTGACCTTTATCAACTGTTATTGTTTCGGAAAAGAGAGGAGGTCTGTGTGCACAAGTGCATTCACACACACATACTTTGTTGATGTTTTCTATATAAACTGCTCTCTTGTACACAAGACTTCAAACGACCAACTCTCACCATACTGACCAAAGACAAAAGTGCGCATGAAAACGTGTACATCTACATACACACACTTGTCTTGGTCAGTATGACAAGATTTGATATTACTCTATAAGAGAGCACTTTACATGGAAATGAACGTTGAAAATCACCACCAAGATCCTTATATGTTTAAGCTTGAGTGCTTTGTCCTGGAACATGTTTGCATTTTAGCAGTGTCCTAGAACAGCTCACGTCGTCCCTCTCCCACCATGCTGAAGTCTATGCCTACAACTGTCCTGGTATATGTAAGCCATGCTTCACTAGTGAAAACCAAATACAAAATACAAGTCCACCTACTTAAAATAACCAAGTGTATACAAGACCCTTTAAAGAAAGGGTAATATAGGGGAAAAGTTACTGGAAGAGGGTGCAAGGTAAAAAAAGATCACAATTTAACAAATCTGCCTCAAATTCCATAGACTCACTGGTACACAATAAATCATACAAGTTTAAAGCACAGGATAGTTTCAGAAAGTCTGAATTCAAGCTTCCGCACTTGCCTTTATATATATTTAAAAAAAAAATGCTTGTTCAAACAGTTGATATCTGCGGAACAGAAGAGAAACAGTACAATTCCACAAGAGTAAGTTTTACAGTGTTTTGAGATTGTGTTTGCTTTGAGTGGTGCAGTCATTTAAAATGCAGGCCTACCTTGCTGTACCAGTTGAGGCAGGGTTGGACCACATCTGGATCATCAATGCCATTAAGTTCAACATACCAGATACTAAAATTGAAGCTGGGCCCCCATGATAACAGTGGAACTGGAGGGGGAGAGGGTGGGGAAAAAAGAAAGGTACATAAATGTCAAATACTTGTTAGATTATTGATCAAACCTACAACACTATTTCAAAAGAATGCATTTTTAGCCCAAGGAGAATAATAATTTAACAAGAATAAAATTCTCTTCCTTTACACACAAATTTTTGGTTATTGATTTTCTGTAAGGTTAGAAAATTTACCGGTCATACATCATATTAAGCTGTGCCTCAAAACAGCTTGCAGTGGAAAAAAAAGATGAAGACAGCAGATCTTTACAGACTAGACGCTTGCACACAGGTGGAGAAAAGGAGGGTCAGAATGCTGGAATCTGAATAGAATAGCTCAAATGGCCAATGGGTACACTGATGGATATTAAATGGGCAAACTGAGGGCAGTACGTGATATTTTTAAAGTGTGTGGTTTATTTCATTTTTGCCAACAGTAGAAACACCATCCCTGGTTAAGGAAGAGGATATCAAGTTTGGTTATTTTTTACTTTACATGATTTGCAACATCGTCTTGGAAGCTTGGGAGGAAAAAGTGTTGTGCTTTTTCCAGGTTCACAACTTTCATCCATACATTATTTCTATCTAATTGCATATGAAACCAATTTGGCTTCCTGGTAGTTGACTTCCACAGTTGTGTACCTCTCTCCCTACAACTCCCCCCATCAAATATTATTACTCTTTCCCACCCCATTTCTAACATCAGGGATGTCAGGTTAGCTGGCAGCCTGCTCAGGGCTCCTCTTGTGCCCTCACCCCAAGTTTGGGCAAACACACTGGAGTGACATAACTTCACTGGATATGGCTTTTCCCTCAACAGCCGGCAGCACTAGTAAGAACTACCACCACAGCAAGTCTATACCATGACATACTCCTGGGGGAATTCTGTGCCACTGCGCAATGCAGAATTTGTGCAGAGTTCCAGGTTTCCCCTGCAGAATTGGGGCTGCAGACCGCCACTAAGGGCTGCTGGATTCTGCAGAGCCCAACTCGCAGTGAGCAGAGTGCCCAGGACGGCAGGGATGGAGGCTCTGCATGCTCTGGCTACCCGGCTTGATCCTCTTCCTCCCAGGGACAGGAGAGGGTCTGGCAAAGGGTGAGGAAGGGCAGGGTCACCCCACATCACATACCCCAGCAGGACAATAAAGAAGGTGGGGGGAGTAAAGGCTCTGGGGGTGCAGGTGTCTGGGCCAGAGTGCGCCCCACAACTGGGCTCTGGAGGAGGGGGGGTGCAGGTGCCTGGGCCAAAGAGTGCCCCATGACTGGGCTCTGGGGAGATGGAGGGGTGTGGGTTTCTGGGCTGGGGCGTGCCATGTGGCTGGGCTCTGGGGGAAGGGGAATGCAGATGTCTGGGCTCTGGAGGTGCCATACAACCCCCTCCAAAAACCCCTAACTGGAACTGGGTTGTTGTAGGGGTTTCTTTAACTCTCTACTGCTGGGGGGATTTTTTTTTGTTATGATGTTTCTGTTGACATACTTGTTGACGGGTATTTTGAAATAAATTACCAAAATAATTGAATGGAGTGATTATATTGTGTTATTTTGACATATAGAATATGAAGAATTTTAAAATAGTGTGTGCAGAACTTTAAATTTTTTGGTACAGAATTCCCCCAGGAGTACACTATGCTCAAGCCCACAGCAGTAGAGACCTGCTAATGAAGGTTAAGGAATAAATAGTACATGCATTTAGAAAACGTGAAGCACAACACAAACAATTATGGAACATGGAGAAAGTCCTCTTTAATTTTAGAGGTATAAGAAGATAGCTTTGGGGCTTAAACTATTTGAGAATACCCCCTTTAAAAGTGAAAACAGCTATTAAAATGTTACTTTAAGGAAAAATGACATGCTCTCTCTTAGGAATAGCAAAGGATGCCAAAATCCAGTGGAAAATTTTAACAGCCGGTCTGTAGGCAGATCTAATACGAATAAAGTGTAATGCTGTAGATCTATAGCATTTAGCTGTGTTAACTATACAACACAAGCCAAGACAGAGGACTCTACACTGAAGTTGCAGCATAGATCTGAAACTATGGAGAGATACAGGAGGTACAGAAACTCCATCCCAACCAATCATACTAGTGAGTAAAGGTATCATTTTATTTTTTCAGTTACAACCCTAATATCCTCTGACCACTGGTGGTAATTAAAAAAAAGTGTCTGTTATTGCATTCTTAAGAACAGGAATATTGACACTGGTGTCCTAGCCAAATTCCCATTGATAGTTACAATTGCACAACTAAATATCTGTAGCTTAAACTGAGACTTCACTTCCCCTCCTAAATAGCTTAGTTTTAAAAAGTGCTTATTGGTAGATACACAAGCTCCATACAGGAAGCCAAATATACCAAGTCAACACAATATACTAGGTTTAGAGTTTGCTGGGAATTTTCTGTCCAAAATCATTGACTGAGAATGTATTTTCTGGAAATTTCTGACAGATTTTTTTTTCAGTTTTCCTCTGGGAAAAACTGAAACAAGATGTTTAATTCTGGCAGTTCGACACAAGTAAAAATATTTTGGTTTGCTGAACTGCATCTTCCTATACTGCCACGTTGCATCATGGAAGTTGTACTTCAGATGCCCCATGCCCCCATTCTCTCTATGAAGCAGGCTCCCTGGCCAGACTACATCTCATGACGCAACATGATCTCCCCTGACCACACTGTGTGGTGCATCATGGAAGTATCACAGAAGCTGTAGTCTGGGCAAGGAGTCCAGTCCATAGGGGAAAGAGGGCATCAGTTACCTGCTCTACAACTCCTATGAGGCAATGCAAAACTATAGGGAAATGATTTTTAATGTTGAATTGACTCAAAGTGATGCATTTTGGGTCAGTTAAATAAACGGACATTAAACATTCCAATTCAAGAATATCAAAATGTTTTGTTTCAATTTAAAACAGATGCATGTAGTGGAAATTTCCAGAGGCAGGTATAAATATGCAGGCAAGAATTAGTCTAGAGATAACGAGGTTAGTTCAATCAGGGAGGATGAGTCTCTCTTCTAGCAGTTGAGGTGTGAACACCAAGGGAGGACAAACTTCTTTTGTAATTGGCTAGCCATTCATAGTCTTTGTTTAATCCTGAGCTGATGGTGTCAAATTTCCTGCCTCTGGAAATTTCCACTAAATGCATCTGATGAAGTGAATATTCACCCACGAAAGCTTATGCTCCAATACATCTGTTAATCTATAAAGGTGCCACAGGACTCTTTGTCGCTTTTTACAGATCCAGACTAACACGGTTACCCCTCTGATACTAGACTAAATTAGGACATTTTCTGAAACATATAAAAAAGGATACCTCCAGAGTCCTGGATACCTTTATGTCCCTCAATTGAACATGTCTTAGTGTGCAAGAGCTTTTCGTAGCTATTGCAAAGGAAAAAAAAAATGTGCTGCAACATTTGCATATGATGTTCAAATGCTAATCTGTGACACCACTAGTATGGAAAAAGTGTTACAGAAAACCAAATTCTACAACACAAAGTGGAAGATTTCCAGTCCATTGTTTTTGACTACTTTCGTTACCAAAGATGCCCTATTAAAAACTACGAGGAGTCCTTGTGGCACCTTAGAGACTAACTGGGACACAAGGACTCCTCGTTGTTTTTGCTGATACAGACTAACACGGCTACCACTCTGAAACCTATTAAAAACTGTTCTCCTCACTACACTGCCTGGCTCTTAATCTTTGATTTGCCAAATGCTGTGCCTGAAGGATATGTATTATGCCTATTTTATTTTGAAAAATAAATATTCCCATAAAGAACTATTTGTTTTTCATGTCTTCCAAGCTTTTACAATCTAGAGTGTTGGGATGGCTTCCTCCATTCTTTGCTAAACTTGCAAATAAAACCCTAAATCACTTCATAGAGTACAGTCCTCCCCACCACAATGTTCAGATACTTTGAAAGTTAAAAACCTGTAACAAAAATCCAAACTGAGAAGATATTACACAGTAGTTGCTCCCTAATGAAGCACTAGAACCTGTCCCCTACTCCGTCTCCTACTCTGAGTGGGGCATACCACAGCAGTATCAAAACTATACTTGCGACCCGATAATTTATGGAATTTGTAACATGTCTGATGTAAGCCTTCAGGTCATCTGTTCAAATTCATCAGTTTGGAAAGTGACCCACCATCTGATGGCCTTTCAGAGTTCCAAGAGAGTTACTCTCAGTCCAATTACTAGTGGATAGCTGTCACATCACAGAAACCCAACAAAGATACTGCTTGGTGATGGTTATCACATACGAGGCAAAAAGGACTGAACAGGCCCTGGAGAGCAGAAGCCCCCTGTAGATATGAGGCGATCTTTTCAGGTCAGGACTGATGCACAGTGCAGGTGAAAGTTATGCTCCTGCTGTCTTAACTATATTTGTCCTTTGAACAGAGGACTTTAGTAACCAGTCCTGCTCATCAGCAACCACCACTAACATTCTTCTCTTGATTAGAAGTGGATTTAATCCAAGAGCATACATAGCAATTTATCAAGTTCTCTCTCACACAGATCTGCATTTAAAAAAAATTAAGGGTTAATAAAAGTTTAATATGATTCTTTTCATTTAGTTCCTTCTCTACAAGAAAAAGCATTGTCCCCCACACTACAATTTTAGAGGCTATAAAATACAAAATAAATAGAACCAATAGCACTTAATAGCTTTTAGGTTATCTGTCTATCCATCCCAGCCCCCAAAAAGCTTGGAAAGAGAGGAAAAATCAAGTAAGAGCCATGAAGACCTGAAAATGTTAGAACTGGTGTACTATTCAGCAGCCTCTCTACTAAGCAAGGCAGACCATCAAGAACATTCCACCCCTGAGCATCACCCTCAGAACTAGTTACCTACCCAGTTCCAAGTCCAATTCAAGGCATTAGCTATCGTTTGCTAAATGATTAAGGGGCTGTGGCCCATCTATCTCAACAGTTGCCACTTGTCCCTCACACTGAAACATGAGCTGATGGTTGGAAAGCTGTCAGAGCACAAGGTAC